CCCGTGTCCCCTGCATCGGCAGGCGTACTCTCAACCACTGCGCCACCAGGGAAGCCCCCTATCACTGTTTTTTAAGTTTGATTTAGAATCTGTCATCAGTAGATTTTTTTTGTGCTTTCTTTCTTCCTCTGTTGTGTATCTTTTAAAAATATGATTTGATATCATGATATTGTGGAAATCTACTAGTAGAAGGACAGAGTTCATCTAGTTTGAATCCCTATTTAAAAATTAATGAAACTGAAGCCCAGAGACTTGCTTAATTTAGATCTTAACTGTGATTTTGGCAAGATCTCAAAGAAAGTGAGTCACAGTATCAACCAGAATCCAAGTTTCTCATGGCCAGATCTGTGCACTTTCTACTAATTCTTTTTTAATTTATCATGGTTACCTGTGAAGTCTCTTCTCATTCTTGGCTGTCTTCCCTCTTTTCTCTCTCAGGGATTATTTTGCGAAGGTCTCATGAGAATTCATTCCTGGGGAACCATATTGCCTTTTAATGTCTGTAGTCAGGATTATTTCTGAATGGATTCCATCAGCAGCAACAGCTATTCATTCCCACTGCACACTTCTAAATGGCTGACTGGAAGTCAACAGTCAGCATTCGTTCTAGCCCACTGTTTCCTTTTCTTACTGTTGTAAGCTTCAATATGAAAATAAGAGGCCATTTCCTCTCACATTTCTAAGGACCATGTCAGTAGCCAATTCTTTGTGGATGGAATTGAAGAGTAGTATTCCCCCCTCACCCCTCAACACACACACATATTTAAGAAAAAAACTCATGGAGACTATTTTTTAGTATAATTAGGTTTCCAGCAGGTAGTCTAAGATGCTGCAGTGTCTGTGCCAGTTTTTCTCAATTGTCTGCAGCTAAATATACTGCAGCTCTCTGTGGTGTACCTCAATTATTGTGACTCTTTTCTCCTAATTCAGGTGCTCTCGCGGTTCCACACTCTGGTTCATAGATTTCTGTATACATTTGACATGTGTCTACTCTGTCTCTTTTGTTATTCGCCCTTCGTAGTTTATTTGAAAGTACATACTCTTCCATCGTATTTCAGTTTTGAATTCCTCGATGGTACGCTAACTCTTGGTCTGCAAAGGTATCTCTTTTTGTTAGGCCAATGTTTGGTATTTCCCTAGTTTGAGGAGCTATGCTTATCTACTTCATATTTACTTCCTTATGGTAACATGTCAACTGTTACCCCATACACTGTACTTTGGTATCTAACTATCTAGATCCCTTAGGATTGTAACTAATAAATCTCCCTTCTCCTTTTTTAAACCTGAGCATCACTGGACAGCCTCCAGGGTCTGCTTCCTTCTGTGTCATATAGTCATCCTCCAGAGCATTTGATAGCTTTTCCTGAGTTTTTTCACTTTCTCTCTCAGAACTGAGTTTAAAGTTTTCCTGTTCCAGAGGGCAAGTCCACTGCCAAATGAATGCTCCAGTCTTCACAAGGTGTAATCAATCCCTTGTTCATTATTCTGATTCATGGGCTGTCATTCAGGGAAACCAGAGCCATCTATGTAATAAACTTCCAAAATCAAGCATCTTATGGAAGAGAAGATGGAATACCACCTCTCTACCACGGAATTTTACTTCCTAACGTTTTTCAGAGGTCTCCCTGAGAATCAATCCATTCATTCTTTGAAAAATCAACAGGAATGGAAGCAATTTCTATGACTGACTCTTAGCTGGCTCTGTCATGTATTGAATGAATGCCCTTAAGAAACATCACATACCCTTCATGTGGCCATGTGTGTTCTGTATACACTACACATAGCCCTCATAAAGGATTTTCAAATAGCCAACGTGTATCACTTCTTCTGGATACAATAACAGAACTCTTTCATCTGTTAAACCCTATGGTTCTTCTGTATGTTTCTGTCGAACATATTCTTATTTAGCATGTTTTCTAGAACTGATAGTGGTCAGTGGCAGCTAGGCCAGATCAGGAACACCTTAAACTGCAAGATTAGTCAGTCATCCTAACAGGTGAGTCAGATTGCCTATATCTACCCTGAAGCAAGTGAGAAAGCCAAGTCTATCTAGCCAGGTAGAGTATTTTATCTAGAATGAATAAGGAATAGATGGTGGTTCAGACAGTCAGGCATTGAAATTGGGGAGGTCCAACAATGGGCAGGTGTTTGGAACACAAAAATCAGGATTCTGAAAATTAATGGGTGTTCAGCAGAGGGGAGTTTTGACTGCAAGCAGTGGGCTTTCAGCTGTGAGACCGACATTCAGAGGCTAGAAACTAACCTCTGGGAGGACAAGTGAGCATAAGCAGGAACAGACATGAACCTAGTTATTTGAAATGGGACATAAAGAAGAAGTGAAACCAATAACAGGACTGACTGCATGGCAAGCCTTCCAAGCTATTGGCCTGCAAGATTCAAAGTAGGATTGGTCCCAGCCTGGGGTTGAGCCTGCTAGTCAGAGTGAAATCATTCCAACTTTGATAGTTAAAAGGCAGCAGAGGCAGAACTGTCCATGATGACCCACACAGGGACAGAAGCTCCACTGGTACAGGGCTTCTTTCGCTTGTCTGCTTGTAATCTTTTTACATTATTTTACCTCTCCCTTCCCTCCCTGAACTTTTTTCCTTCTGACTTCTCTTCTGTGCTCTTTCTACTACCCCAGCAGAGAAAGATAGAGATGTTCTCTTGGTCTTGTCCCTGTCTCCCCTAGCATCAGGAAGGCCAGTGTACATGTAGTACATACGGCTGATGGTGGTGTCTGGCAGGAAAAAAAAATAACAGAGTACAAACTTAGCAAGTTATAATGAAAGTGTGTTTTTAATTTTGTTTGGATCTCTGAATGAGCCAACAAATTTTCTTATCCATTCTTGTAACCCTGGGGCCTGAGCTGTTCCTGGGAGGGAGTACTTTGTTGTGCTTTTTTAAGGACTATTTTTCAGCTGACCTGGTTCCACTTTTTTCCCTAGCTACTCTTCTTTTAAGATTTTAGTCAATAGCATTCATAACAAAAATCTTGCAAGCAGCTTTTCGTACCAAAAATGATGGGCTATAACCAAAGGATAACAGAGACTATGGTCAAAGACTTCTATATATACATTGCTGTTTCAGCTGGGCCTCATAGGACTTACTGGGTTGTAGAGGCCCAACACATTCTTGGATATTATTTATATTTTCGTGAGTCAGATTCTATAAATTTATGTATACAACATGAGTTTATAGGTTTTTTTTCCATCTATCTGTAGGGTTGCAATAGTTTCCAAATCTTTTGAAGGAAAAACTGATCGCACAGAAGAGTGGTATGGAACCCAGTACAGACAAGAAGCTATACCAGATGAAGTCATTAAGGTAGGGTTAACCCATCTGTGAATAAGCTGATGTGTGAGGGACACACAAGAATATGAGCTCCCTAGATCAACCAGTTCACGGCCCAAAGTGTGGAGAGTGATGGCCCAGCACTGTCTGTACCATCCCAAGAGGAGTGAACAGGGAGGTGAAGAGCTGGAGCTTAGGTTTTGCATGAAGAAATGATACTGTAGCCACCTTCTCGTCTGTCTGTCAGACCAGCAGGGCTGTAAAGCAGACTCCAAGTCTCATGCAGTCAAAGATCAGTGAAGTCCAAAGTACACAGGGTTGCAAAGGCACCAAGACAGGCAGGAAGAGATGGAAATAGAGAACCTGAAAGACAGATGCAAGGGCTGAGAGCTCACGATCTTGCTGTGAACACAGGTGGGGAGCAATTTCTGGGATTCATACCATCTTCACTTTAGGAGGGGCTATATTTTATGCCTCATTGTATCATTGCTCTTTTTGTCAACATAGGGTCATTATGATTTGTTTCAAAACAGGTATGTATAGATAGTATGTTACCCCATTCATCAGGAGTCAGGATTTTGTTTGTGAGTCTTATCTACTGGTCCAGTACTTTTTCTTTTTTGGTTCTCATTGGCTGTGTAGCTTTGAGACTGTGTCCTTTATTCATGGGGAGACACCAGAAAGCCTTGCTCTGACTAAATTCTAGTTAAACTTGGGTAATGGATATTTCTTAAATGTACCAGGGTAATGACGATACAGAAAAAAGTAGTTTAAGAAAGAAAAATTATTACTGGTACTTTTCTGACATATTCATAGCACGTAAGGAGATGACTGAAGCCCGTTAGTATGTGAAAATGTCCACCTTACTAAACTGTGAGGAAAGCTGATCTCGCATGAATTAGTGCTGGGTGTGAACTAACCCTCAAACAAGAGAGAACCCCTGTTCACCAAATTCTGACCAGGACAAACCTGCCCCAAATGGAAATTTAAACAAATTGATCTGGAAGTTCAGCAGTGAAATTACTTGCTAAGTGTTTACCAGTCCCTACGATCCAGCCATACTGGGGACTTAAGTTGCTACATATAAATAATATGGCCAACATCCCCACCATCCCAGTGCCAAAAGACACAAATGCAGGGACCAAAATAGAACTACAAGAGCTGCAAGGCTGTGCCACATCAGCTGGAGACCAAATTACTAAACCCAGAATCATTGGCAGTTGGTTGCTTTTTTTTTTTAAATAATGAAAAGTCTTATAAATCAGAGTTCATCAATCATGGTCTGATCTGCCTCACTTAGCTTTTGGAAGTAGCCCATGGAACAGATCCAACCTGCAGGTTGTGTCGATCCTGTCCCACAATCCAGATTTAAATCTCAACTTTGTCCTTAACCGTATGCTTGAAATATTGGTCCACTTGAAAATGCATGTGGTCGTCTGGGAGAGGAGTAGACCAGGCCTTTAGAGTGCTGAAGTCAAAGAAGCCCCCTTTAACCTAGTTTTCAAGCCATACATTGCAAGTAATATAGTGTAGCTGAAAGTTTAACTCTTTTAAATGACCTATTGTCTAGCAGTTGTGGGTATTTATCTCTGTGCAGATTATTCTCCATTCTTTAAAGAGCTGGAGCAAACATGATCTTCATATGGACCAGTTAGCCTCAGTTCCACAGTCTCAGATTGTTCCTTCACCTCAGCTGGTCATTTCAGACATGTGTAAAGAGGAAAGATAGATGAGTGTAAAACCTTGATTAGTTCCAGAGACTCCAGTTCAAGTTTCATGAAAAGTCATTGATAGATCTTGGGAGTAGCCTTTTTATATATGATGGAAGAGAATGCTGTGTGACATTTATTCTCTTATTGTTTGCCTAGATATTAAGCAATGTGACTGTTTTAAACTCTTAAATCAGATTCTAATTGCTTTTGTGTGTGTGTGTGTGTGTGTTTTCACTATTCATCCAGAAATGGCAAAATGCTGATTTGAATGGGAAATTTAAACTTCCAACGAAGAATGAATTTATTCCTACAGATTTTGAGATTTTATCATTAGAAAAAGAAGCAACACCATACCCTTCTCTTATTAAGGTAATATGTTAGAATCATTGATATTAAATTTAGGGGACAGACCTATTACATAGAAGGGACTAGAGAGATGTTTTCTTGCATTTGGTACTATGTTGATTTGCGGGGCTCACACCCTACAGATAACAGAAAAGTTGCAGAGAGAATAACTACAAGAAATATTAAAAGCTAGACATTTTAAAACAAACAAAACTACTCTACAGCATAGAATCTAGGGAATTGTTTTCTTTGCAGACTATAAAATAGTAAGTCTGGAATGTAACTACAAGTCTATTGAAAGCGGGCTTCTTTCCATGTTCACTGAAGACCCAATAAGGAAGTAGATTTATGCTGCATCATGAAAGTTAGAGATAAAGAATCTCTAAAGCCTGGAAGAGAGCATATCCAGGGGAAGCTGTTGGATTTCCTACCCTTAAAAACAATTCTTTCTCATTTTGACAGAACGCTATATGAAGTTAATGGAGTTATAAGCCAGTGGGAAGAACGATTGAGGAGGGTGTTTTCTTTTTCAGAATGTTCTTTTCATGTCATTATTTCACACCTTGGGTAGATTGTGTAGAAAAATGGATCAAATTATTACAGCACATCCTCTTTTCTAAACTTTAAAACTAACTCTTTCTAAATTTACCACCACAGACAAACATCTTTCTTTCCCTTTTCTTCAAATGACCTAACATTCAGATTAACTCAATGAGATGAGAATTAGTGTTTAGGACTATGAAATTTAATTTATCTCAAACAACTAGATTATTAATGAGACAATCATTTTTCTTTAAAAATGACATTTTAATGAGTTATAGGTTAGGTTATTCAAAGGGAAAGCTTATTTACTTCTCCTATTTTTATTTTTTGTTTGTTTTAAATAGGCCATCTTAGCATAAACTAAGGAGAATATTAAACCATTTATATCTCTTGTCAGAGTTTCAAGGTAGTTTCAGGTGAACTTTAAGACTTTTTTAAAATTTATTTGGCTGCGTCAGGTCTTAGTTTTAGTACGCGGGATCTTCTTCGCAGCTTGCGGGATCTTTCGTTGCGGTGTGTGGGCTCTTTATTGCAGCGCATGGGCTTCTCTCTAGTTGTGGCATGCGGTCTCCAGAGTGCATGGACTCTGTAGTTGCGGCACACAGGCTCTCTAGTTGTGACGTGCAGGCTCAGTAGTTTTGGCACACAGGCTTAGTTGCTCCACAGCATGTGGGGTCTTAGTTCCCCAACCAGGGATCGAACCCGCATCCCCTGCATTGGAAGGCGAATTCTTAACAACTGGACCACCAGGGAAGTCCCTAAGACTTTTTAAAATATAGTATGAATGAGTGAGTGGAGAGGCAAAGGAGTGGCTTATTTGTTCATCCTTGGCTGTGTTAGTTATCCGTTGCGGTGTAACAAATTACTCTAAAATTCAGCAGTTTAAAACCACAAACACTTATTTTATCTCATGCAGTTTCCAAGGGACAGGAATGTGGAAGTAGCCTAGTTGGGTAGTTCTGGCTCAGGGTCTCTCAGGTTATGGTCAAGCTGTGAGCTGGGACTTTGGTCATCTGAAGGCTCAACTAGGGCTGGAGGATTCTACTCCAAATTCATTTGTGTGGCTTTGGGCAGGCCTTAGTTCTTCGGTACATGGGCCTCTCCGTAGAGTTGTGTGACATGGCAGCTGGCTTACCCCAAAGTGAGTGATCCAAGAGGGAAAATGAGTGATCAAGGTGGAAACCACAGTGTCTTATAATCTAGTCTAAGAAGTGTCATATCATCACGTCTGCCATAATCTGTTGGTCAGACAGAGACCAACCCTGGTCCAGTGCAGGAGAGAGGACCACACAAGGGTGTGAATTCCAGCAGGCAGGGATCCATGTGGCCCACTTTGGTGGCTGGCTGCCACCCCCCCACCCCCACAAGGACTCCTGCATCTGTGTCCCTGCATCCAGAAAAACAGGGACAGGACAGTTGGTATTGGCTTCACCTGTCTGTCTCTTCCGCCACTGAGTCCCCGTCTCTTTGACCCAGGGTGCTGATGAGAGGGTGATTTCTCTCTACTACTGGAATCACCAGTCATCTCTCCAGCTTCCCACCAGCTGACCCTCTGAGTATGCTTCAAGGCCATGGGACAGCAGTCTCTCCAGAACAAAGCTCAGCTATTTCCTCTGTCCTCCTCCTCTTGAAGAGTGATTTGATTGAAGATTTTTGCCAAATGTGCCTGTATTTCCCTAAACATACTGTTTCTCCATCACAGGATACAGCTATGAGCAAACTGTGGTTCAAACAAGATGATAAGTTTTTCTTGCCTAAGGCCTGTCTGAACTTTGAATTTTTCAGGTACGTAAAATGAATCTAGCTACAAAGCTTCCTATGAAAATCAACAATTACATTTCTGAAAGTTTTCTTTGCTTCCTTAAGGACCTATGTCTGGAAATAGAAGGAATTAGAGTTTTTTAGCCTAGACAAAGGAAGGCTGCTCCTTCCTGTTAAGGGAAGGCTGTAGACTCACCAGAAGTTTCACTGAAGAAAGATTAAATAATTTGGGGTGTGTTTTTTTGTTGTGGTTTTGATTTTGTATTCCTGGAACTTGCCCAGAAGAAGAGGTGGTAGTTACTAAATGATCTTGAATCCCTTCCAGCCCTTTAATTGTCTGGAGCCCTCAGATATTGCTTTCTGTATTCCTGGCTTGATAGAAGATGTTTGTAAAATTTATGAATAATGCTACTGTTGCAATGATTTCTCAGTATAAATCTTTAGTTTATCTCCTTTTATTTGTGTGATAATATTATCACTCAATTCAAATTTTACTTTGTGAGTTTGCACTCTATAATTTTATATTTCTAAAATTCAGTGGTCTGTGTTTATAAAATAAACCTATCATTTTTTAATAATGTTCAATATAATGATCAACTTTTTCATTAATTTTTATTTGATTTGCTTGGCATGAAATTAAAGCTGGATGTGTTTTAAATATTTTAGAAAAGAGAAAAAGAATCTCTTAAGTAGGAATTTAATAGTTCACGAACAAGTATGTTGAGATTGTAGGGATGTAAACATTGTTTATTTATAGTATGAGATTCATAGATTATCTAGAGCTGCGCTGAGATTGTTGGTGTTGTTTTTTGTTTGTTTGTTTGTTTACATCAAACATGGGCTTTCTGATTATGGCTTACTGTTGGTAGAGAGCATTACAAAGCTGGTTTTATTTTTTGATAGTTCAGAGTGATATTTTTAACACTCTAAGCAGCTTGTCACACTTTCGCATTTGGCTTCTATGATTTAGCTTCAGAATACCTTTTGAGAGACCATTTGATATGTTTGCGTTCTCTAAGCTGCCTAGTATAGTTCTCAGAATTTAAAATGTCTGCTTCCCACCAATCCCTCTCCGTGTTCTGGTCTCTCTAGAGGTAAACACTATTAGGTTTCTTGTACGTTCTTAAATAAATTTTCTGTTTGTGTATATACTTTTAGTCTTTTCAGAAATAGGATAATATTATGCATATGTACAGTTTTTAAAACTCTGTGATCCATATTTAAGCATGTAACATCTGGTTACGAAATAATGTGTTTTAAGTTAACAAGTGAACCAGGATTTAAGAATTCCAGTTGAATCATGTTCTCTTTCAAAAGTTAGTTTAGGACCCTCTCCAGTTCACCAGCATAGCTGCTGTGGATGCAGCATTTTAGGACACTTCTTGGAATTGCATTCTGAGCTTGATCCATATGACTTTGAACTCCCAGATTTGTTTTTTTCTAGCTTTTCACTTCCACCTAAGGGTGCCTGTGGGGATGAACCCTTTCAAGGACTCTCTTTTGTTTTGATGCTTTTGTGAGCTGTGCTAGTAAGTTTCTGAACTGCTTCCTTCTATTTGACTAAAGAAGGAAGTCTGTCATCATGTATAATACTTAAAAAATTAAATGACAGAGTGCTATTTAGATTTGCCAGGCGGAGAATGTATAGCTTTAGAATTTTCTCTTTGATTTTAATTCTCTGTAGCTAAGCATTTTACCCCTATTTTTACTTAATTATCAGTTTTTGATAAAATTTCTGGCCCTGATGTCAGTGCATTGGTTATATTTACTGTGCTATAGATAGAGTGAAACTTTTAATTTGCTGCCAAACAAACCAAACCATGAGGCTACCTCAGATCCTTTGTACTGGCTGTTTCCTCAGCCTGGAAAGTTCTCCACCCAGATATCCCCAGGGCTTGCTCCTTTGCTTCCTTCAGGTCTGGACCCAGATGTCACCTTTCAGAGTGGCCTTGATTAATAATTAATAATAATTTTAATAATAACAATTTAATTTATTAATAATAATTTTATGTAAATTAGCAATCTTCCTGTCCCACTACCCATCACTCCTGTTCCTCTGACCCTGCATAATTTTTCTCCATAACACTATCACCACCTGATGTATCATATTTAAATTTATTATTTGTCTCTTCCAACTAGGCTCTAAACTCTGTGAAGTCAGGGACTCTGCCTGATTTGTTCCTTCTTTATTCCCAGTACCTAGAGAAGTGCCTAGCACTGTAGTGAGAATGTAGTACATATTTGTTGAATGAAGGAATCTTTTACTTGCTTCTCATAAAGGTAAGCAGTGTCACATAGTCAAATGAATAGGTCATTTGACTTAAATCTGAATCCTAACTCTGCTGCTACTAGCCCAGGTGACATGAGGAAAGTGATGCTTCTTATTTGGGAAACGAAGATTTAAGTTAGGTCATCTCTGTGGTCCTATTTAGCTCTTGCACTCTGTAATTATTTCCTCTCTTTTGTTGCTCTTTCTCACTTAAAAATTTTCCTGTTTTAATATTTTTTCCTAGTTCTGGCTGTAGTTGTATGATGGATATTATCAATTACTTTACTGACAGTGTTCCAGTCTCTTGGTTTGGGAGGAAACTCAAGAGATAAGCTAACATTTTCACAGGTCTTAATTTTTCTCTTTCAAGTCTCAGTTTTTCCCTTTTAAGTTTATATAATCACAGCACACAAACTTCTCAATCTCATCCTCCTGTCCACCAAGGGTTTGGCTTGCTTAGAGGGAGAAAGAGGACACCCACATGCTGTTATCAGCTTTGTCAGCCATGCCTTCTCCTATTAGCCTTTATAAATGTAGGCATGCGTTTTGGCCTGTTCCTCCTCCTTACCTACCCAGTGTTTCTAACTTGTCAGTTCTACCACACCATCTGGGGTAAGCAATTCCTTCTCCCTCTTCACCACTACCAGCACACATGGCATATTTCAAGCTTCTTTTTTAAACATCTTGTTTTTTTCCTCATGAGAAGAGTCAGATTCAGGAATTCAAAGTGTGTCTTCAGGAAGTTATTTTAACCCCTGTTCAGTTCCTTGATCCATCTCAAAAGGCCATATCACATTGGGAAGTAATAAATCAGCTATTTTACTGTCAACATTTTCTTCCAGCCCATTTGCTTATGTGGACCCCTTGCACTGTAACATGGCCTATTTGTACCTTGAGCTCCTCAAAGACTCACTCAACGAGTATGCATATGCAGCAGAGCTAGCAGGCTTGAGCTATGACCTCCAAAATACCATCTATGGGATGTATGTAAGTACCCACGTCTTAGAGCCTTCCACTCATCAACATTTTTTATATTGATTTGCTGGAAGCATTTTTGATTGAGGGTGTGAGTTTAATTTCTTTTTTTGGTGACTAATCATATTTTCGCATAATTTAATTTTTAAGTTAGCTTTTACTCTTAAGTATTCCGCAATATACCATTCATATTATGCAAATTTTCCTTGATTTCTTTTTTTTTAAACATCTTTCATCAGACTGTCATATTTTTCTCCTCAAAACAAAATTGGACCCTGATTTAGGTTTAGATCTCTCCCATTCTGTATCTGAAGTCTTGGTCTTTGACAACAGAGAATGAAGTCTTCCTGCCATTGTAAAACAGAAGGTTGGCCTATACTATTTCCCTAGAAATTTAGATCATGAGGCTGCATATTCATACTCTTCGGTCATGTTTCTTCATTACCATGCCACTGCTTGAGGTATCAAAGCATTTCTTTTGTTTTTCTTTTTGTTAGTCGCTACATTTATGCTGATCCTCTCCATTGCAACATGACATACCTGTTTATCAGGTTATTGAAGGATGATTTAAAAGAGTATACATATGCAGCACGCCTCTCAGGTTTGAGCTATGGCATTGCATCAGGAATGAATGCAATACTTGTAAGTAAAATGAAAACGAAAGAAAAGGCGTCACACCGTTTAAGCATTATGTTGAGCTTGGGAAAACTATTAACTTCTGCATTTTAAAACAAGAAGATTGATGGTTTTTTCCTTGCACCTTTTTAATGATTGAAGAACTCAAGTTAGTATTAGTTCCACTAACAAATGATTTAGTAGAGTTTAGTGCATCTTGTGAACATATATTTGTGCTACATTTATTTGCATGTTCCTCTGCTTGAAATGTTTAACATATTAATCCTGAAAGCATGTTGTTCTTTCCATGTATTTGAATATATTAACATCTGTAAGTGAAAGATACCCATAGTTACTGTTGTGGTGCTGAATTTTACTTATATTATAAGCTTCTTTATTTCTTCTGACAGTAATAGAAAGTTCCTGTGTTCAGATACGTCTGACATTTTCATTTAATTTATTTTGTAGCATGTATCATTAACTACTTTTAAGTGTGTTTTAAGATAAACATTATTAAATACATCCCAAGAAATAACTAGATCCTTTCTCTTGAAACCGTTTCTGTTATGTTTCCAAACTTATATCATTTCCAAATTAACATCCCTCTTCTGGCACACATTCATCTCCACTTTTCTTAAAAATATGTTGTATGTTTTCATAACAACTAAAATGAGAGCATGCACTGTGTACTCTTTCTAATTCTATACAAAAAGTTTTAGGGTTTTTAAATTTTATTTATTTTGCAGTGACTTTTTTTCTTCATACAAGTAACTTTTCTGGTAGCTTTTGTTTAATGTATAAGAATGTATATAACCTAACCATTCTCAGAGTCCAGGGAAATTTGAAGCTCAGAGGTCAAAATAAAATCCAAATAGAAAAGTAATAATCTATGGTTTATTTTTTGCTGTTGAGTTTTAGTAGCATATCACCATTAAAATAAATAATTTTTAATTTGTGACAGAATGGGCTTTCTGCTAGTTGTCAGTCTAGTTCCCACGGTACATGATGTGCTTTCCATGGGCAGTGACCTTCACTCCTGCTGAGATTCTTGCCTATCGATTTTCATAAGGTAAAGGCATCCAGAGATATTCTAGTTCCAGTGTATCCTCTAACCTCTGTGGGTGCCACCATGTGGCAATATAATAGTAGGAAATGTGATAATAGGCTTCCCCTGCTTTTCAAAATGTTATGCTTTCAGAAACTATTAAGGTAAATTGTCCTAAGGCAAAATCCAGACAGTACATACAGTGTATCCTTACTTCACATCTGTTTTGCCACTGGCTTTTGGTACATCAGCAGAACTCATCAAACAAGCAAGTAGTGAGACCTATGGACCATTATTGGGCAACATTGGACAAGAAAAGTGGCAAAATGCCATATAATACAAAATTGGGGCTTCCTGATTTCTTAAAAGATGATTTTTTAAAACATTGAAATATAAACAATTTGGGGACATACCCAGTAGTTTGCTAGGTAACCCTCCCCTATGATTTTTACCTTCTTAACACAACTATAACAATCTTAAGCATGACATTCTTTAGAAATTCTTTTTGAAGGTTAAATTTAAAACACATTCTATAATTAATTTTGATTTAATGAGAACTTGAATTTTGATGATATATAGTATGTACTGCTGTAGTTTGGCACCAGGTAAGTTTTCCTGCTATTGTTTTTGTTTAGGAAAAGCATATGCTTTTGGATATTAGTAAATAAAGATGGTCAATGTTATCTTCCTAAGTGTTGAACTATATTTATGAGAAATGAAATTCATTTAATTTCTTGTTTTATTTTTATTTTGATACACCTGGTTTGGGGATTTTCTACATGTTTTAAAGTCAAGTTGAAGTTGTTTCATGTTAATTTTAGACTTTTAATATCCTGAACTCTTTCCATAGCTCTCGGTGAAAGGTTATAATGACAAGCAGCCAATTTTGCTAAAGAAGATCATTGAGAAAATGGCTACCTTTGAGATTGATGAAAAAAGATTTGAAATTATCAAAGAGGCAGTAAGTTTTCTCAACTTATTTTTATAATTTTTTTATTCATAAGGTGATATTGCCACATTATGAACATTTTTGAAAAAGAGGCGAGGAGGAAAAGAAGCATTCATAACCCTGTGGCAGTCATTTTATCCTATCTTTGCTGAATACTATACTCTATCCAGAAGGAAAGCCTGGGAGACTCTGGTGGACACCTGGCCCCCTTCTCTGTAGGCCCTAAGAGCTAGGATAGCCCTGACTTTCAGAGAGGAGCCTGAGGTAGACCTAGTGGCTTTCAGGGACTCCTTGAAGATTTCATCCAACCTCCATTTAAGAAGAACACTCTAGGGCTTCCCTGGTGGCTCAGTGGTTAAGAATCCGCCTGCCAGTGCAGGGGACACAGGTTCGAGCCCAGGTCTGGGAAGATCCCACATGCCGCAGAGCAACTAAGCCTATGCGCCACAACTACTGAGCCTGCACTCTAGAGCCCGTGAGCCACAACTACTGAAGCCCACGTGCCTAGCTCCTGTGCTCTGCAACAAGAGAAGCCACCGCAGTGAAAAGCCCGTGAACTGCAACAAAGAGTAGCCCTCGCTCACTGCAACTAGAGAAAGCCCACGTGCAGCAAAGAAGACCCAACACAGCCAAAAATAAAAAATAAGTAAATAAAAAAACAAACAAATAAATAAATAAAAGGGGGAAAAGAAAAAAAGAAGAACACCCTATTCTGCAGGAGGGACCTCAGCCTTCCATGACAGCCTTATCACATTAGGGCAGACTATTTAGGCTTGATGTATCTTCCACTTAAATTCAACTCATGTTTGGTCCAGTAATGGAAATATGGGATGGATGGCTATTTTAAAAGCCAAACTATGACCTTCATTGTACACCCAAAGAAATTATCATCAGTTTTCAAATTAAGATTCAATATTTTATATATATACATATCCATGTTGCTTGCTTAGAGAGACTTTTGGGATGACCTTATGGTGAAGAATTAAAGGATGCCAAGAGATGGAGGCCTTGAAAACTGGGGATAACTTTCTGAGAGATCAAAGAGATCCCGTAGTGAAGGTACTTAGAGTACATGTCAGATGCTGGGGGTAAAGCAGCAGCCTGGACAAAGAAAAAGTATGCTCAAGACTTCTCTGGTGGTCCAGTGATTAAGACTCCAAGTTTCCACTGCAGAGGGCACAGGTTCGATCCCTGGTCAGGGAAGTAAGATCCTTCATGCCTTGCAGTATGGCAAAAAAAAAAAAAAAAAAAAAAAACCTTTTGAAAATATAACATGCAGTCGTTTTTTTAAATTTATTTATTTTATTTATTTTTGGCTGCGTTGGGTCTTCGTTGTTGCACATGGGCTTTTCTCTAGTTGCGGTGAACGGGAGCTATTCTTCGTTGAGGTGTGCGGGCTTCTCATTGTGGTGGCTTCTCCTGTTGCAGAGCATGGGCTCTAGGCACGTGGGCTTCAGTAGTTGTGGCACACGGGCTCAGTAGTTGTGGCTCACGGGCTCTAGAGCGCAGGCTCAGTAGTTGTGGTGCACGGGCGTAGTTGCTCCACAGCATGTGGGATCTTCCCGGACCAGGGCTTGAACCCGTGTCCCCTGCATTGGCAGGCGGATTCTTAATCACTGTGCCACCAGAGAAGTCCGCAATCAATTTTAAGACTCAGTGTACACACCTCACTCCTGATACTATTTCTGGTGTTATAAGGAACATATATTTTAATTGAATTTAATTGAAGTTCTGTTCTCAGAATTTTACATTTTACATTTCTTAACTTTAACTTTACATTTCTTAATTATGGGGACAAAAAACAAAAAAATTACTTAAGAAAAAAGACTTCAAAAAAAAAAGAAAGAAAAAAGCATACTCTTTAGTTTAAGTATCAAAGGGAGAGAGGAGTAAGTCCCATTCTAAATTACATAACTTTGAAAAGGAAGATGAAGCAGATATCCCTGCATCCCATTTAACACATCATTTATGCAAAATGAAGTTTGATTATAGCTGACCTTTTGAAATGATTTTAAAAAGATCGATAAAATTAACAAACCCACGTCTCCCTTCACTAGTATATGCGATCTCTTAACAATTTCCGAGCTGAACAGCCTCACCAGCACGCCATGTACTACCTCCGCTTGCTGATGACTGAAGTGGCCTGGACTAAAGATGAATTGAAAGAAGCCCTGGATGGTGAGACTCTTTCTACTTATAGCCTAATGCTTTCTTCATTCTTTTCTAAAATCATTTTGGTTTATCCTATTACCTAGTATTTATGCTTTCTAATAACTTGTAGTTCCATTAAAGCCAGCTGTGCATACTGTTTTGGGGGTTTTTTTGTTTTTGTTTTTGTTTTTGTTTTTACAAAAGCAGTGGTGTCCTTTGAAGTGGCTTTTGTATTCAGGCAGTTTAACCACATTTGCTGTTTTCAACCTGGACCCACAACAGTCAGTTATTACTGTTAATAGATTTCTGCAGATGACAGTGTTTTGACCCAAGCACTTACCTTGTTAATATTGAAGTTTTCAGAAAAGGAAAAAAGGGCTGAGCTTGAAAGTCTTATCACACAGAAAGAATGCTTAGGCATTTTTGTTGTTGTTTTTGTTTTTGTTTCTTTGCGGTACGCGGGCCTCTCACCATTGCGGCCTCTCCTGTTGCGGAGCACAGGCTCCGGACGCGCAGGCCCAGCGGCCATGGCTCACGGGCGCAGCCGCTCCGCGGCATGTGGGATCTTCCCGGACCGGGGCACGAACCCGTGTCCCCTGCATCGGCAGGCGGACTCTCAACCACTGCGCCACCAGGGAAGCCCTTTAATGATCTTTTATGACAAGTCCTTTCTTATTATGTAAGAAAGGACTTTGATGACTTTAGTGACAAATCAAGAGCAAAGTATTGAAGGTCATTATTTTATTGGTTGAGTAGGCATATAGATTATAAAATTCATTAACTAGAACAGATACGTTTTAAATCTGGACAGTTAATACACTTTTCTTTGCAAAATGATTATGAGTCACACCCGGTTGTAACAAGCAGGAATTTTACCTTTTTAAAAAAATACCACATAATTGATTTTAAATACATTTTCAAGAGACCGAACCTGCATTCAGCATGATCCAAAAGCAGAGATTTGGGGATTCCCACCCGCTTTGTTAGCTTCTGGGTCAGATGGTATATGAACTGTAAGCAGAATTAGTTCTAAAGTTTCACATAGGCATGTGATGCCTTCCTAAAATGTGTTTTATAAAGAGAAAGTCAGCACTTTTTCGGTTGAAATTTTCCACTCTAATAATCATTCTGTTTTGATATATATATTCATCAATAATCCGGTAATGCCAACATGGCTTAATCTGGAGACAACTCAATATGAGAGGCTGGCTCCCCCGTGACTCTACGTCTGTCAGCTATCCAGGTGCCAGGGTAGCAAGAACCTCAGAATTCAGTGTGGTCCAACAGCATTTACTGACTGCCTGCTATGCACTAGGCGCCAGACTGCAGGTGCTTGAGATTAAAAAATGATCAGTTAGGTGGGGTTTCTTGCGTCAAGGAGCTCCAGTCTAGTGGCAAAGCATAAGTGTAAAACAGATTGTTTTTTGTAGAGGCAAAGAGACTGGGTATTGTTATAGAAGTTTGCAGAGAGAGCTGAGGGGTCTAGTGAAGGGGTCTTCTAGGGCAGTGCAGTGGAGTGGGATGGGTATGCATTTTGGAATTAGACTAAGATTCAAATGCAGCTCTGCCACTTACTAGCTTGATGACTTTGGACAAGGAACTTAAATTTTCTTAACTTCAGTTCTCTCACCTTTAAAATGGGGGTAATAGCACATAATTTATAGTTTATAAGATAACATCTATAAAATGCCTGATGCATAGTAAGCACTTGTTAATTCCCTTCCTATGTCTCTCTTTAAATTTTATTCACTAATTTTAGCATCCATTGTAGCATTTATTAGTATGGTGTCCTAATGGAGAAGGGACAACTCTTTACTGAAGAATTAAATCAGTACATGTAAAAGTAATGAGAAGAACAGAAAATTCACTATTAGGATTCCATAATCATAATTGATACAGGCAATATCCACCACTGGATGCTAAATTAGTGGGTAAAAGTTAAGTAAGGACAAAATATTTGTGTAGTCTCAAAGTATTTCCTCCAAAGTAAATATTTAAAAATTATAATGGGAAAAGAAGGCATTGGCGGGGTGGCTTTTCCTAATTGCTTGTAGCGCATACATGAGTTACTTAATTATAACCAAAAGATTAAAACAGTCCCCTGGTAGACAGCACTATAGCCACGTAAGTCAGTGTTTACATCACCAGTATTACAGCATAACAGCATCATGTGCCCCCGATGTGATGCCCTGAGAAAGACATATTACCTCTGGGGTATTCTTTCTAAGAATACAGAAGCTCAATTTAAGCATGAGAAAACATTAGACAAGCCCAAATAAAGGGCATTCTATAAAATAATTGAGCAGTACTGCTTAAAAATCTTAAGGTCATGAAAGGCAAGGAAAGACCAAGGAACTGTTACAGATTGGAGGAAACTAAGGACACATGACAGCTAAATGCAAGGTAGGATTGTGGATTAGATCCTGGAACAGAAAAGGGATATTAGTGGAAAACCTGAAATCCAAATAAAGTCTGTATTTTAGTTAATAGTATTGTCCCAGTGTTAACTTCTTAGTTTTGATCATCATCCTATGGTGGTTAAAGATGTTAACGTAAGAGAAAACTGAGTGAGGGGTATATAGGAACTCCCTGTAATATTTTTGCAACTCTTCTGTAAATCTCAAATTATCTCAGAGTTTTTTTTTTTAAAAACCTTACAGGTAGAGCTTACTATTTCTTACACTTGTTTACAGATGTTACCCTTCCTCGCCTTAAGGCCTTCATACCTCAGCTCCTGTCACGGCTGCACATTGAAGCCCTTCTCCATGGAAACATAACAAAGCAGGTGCGGGATTGAGGTTTTAGCAATAATCTTTTATGCATCATTCAAAGAGAAAATTTTTACCCTAGTTGGTCTAAGATTACTAACTAACCACCACAGTCTGGCTGTATAAGCACATTAGTGTTGACTCAGGCTTCCCTGCCCTATGCAGGAAGGTAGGGGAGGGTATAGGGGGAGCAGAATGATCATGGTTAACTGTGGACCTACTTTCACAGCTGTCTCCTCTGTTTTTGCCTGCCTCGTGCAATCATTGAAGGAAATGGGAATAATTATCCCTACTCTGTAGGACAGCAGCACTGTGTAGTGGATAAGAGCACATGGTGTAGAATGAGCCTGGATTCAAATCTTGACTCCTCCGCTTACAAGTTATGTAATCTTCTGAAAACGTCTTAATCTCTCTATGCTCAGTTTCCTTATCGGTAAAACTACTTATAAGGATTAAATTAGATAGTATATTCCAAGTGTTTAGCACGTGGAAAGCATTCCAGATTCCCTTGGTAGTCTGTCTTAAAAGCCCACACTTTCTACCACTCTGTTACATTGCCTCCAAAACAATATGCCAAGGTCAGGTGCTAATAAGTGGCTGAGACAGTATTCTTCCCCAGGTCAGTTTTATTCAGAATAAAGCCTCATGCTTACCTCCTTTGCTTTGCTATAACCCCAGGTGTCTGTGGTGTGGGTCATTGACGTGGGACCACCTTTCCATCATCAGTACCTCTCCAGCTTTGGCAGTGCCTTTTCCCCACAATCGAGATCAGTGCTGATGATTGTCTGGGTCTCTGTTTCTCTTCACTACTACCATACTGACTCTACTGAAAATTGATGAGTTCAGTTTTTATCCATTTGAACAGGATCAAATGTATTTAAGATTTAAAAATCCACTTTTATGATAAACTAGGTTAGTTTGTTTCACAAGCATGTTGTTTCATATTGCATGGGCTACTATCTAATCAAGATACACTTGTGATTTGTAATGTGCTATGACCTATCTTCTTCCACAGGCTGCATTAGGAATTATGCAGATGGTTGAAGACACCCTTATTGAACATGCTCATACAAAACCTCTCCTTCCAAGTCAGCTGGTTCGGTATAGAGAAGTTCAGCTCCCTGACAGTAAGTGGAAATGTTATATCTTTGGTAATGGACTACTTTGACATAATATTGTGTGTGATTACAGATGAGTTGAAGTCACTTGGATGATAATATATAGTTTTATGGTAAAGATCTACTGGGATCCTCTACTATTTATAGCTAAAAGTAGATAATTCTGCAGGAAAATTATCTGTAGGAGTGCCAAAGAGGTAAAATTGGAGGTAGGCAATTATTTTGAAGAGAATGATACTGGAATTGACTGGTAATTGAGTATAGAGGAGTTAGGGAAAAAAATCACAAAACTAAAGAAATGTTGACTGTGAAGCATGAAATAAAATTTATTTATAAAAAATGTAAATTAGAATTAGGAGTGCATAGGAGTCTTTGGCAGAAGACTCACAGGTGCAGATAACACCATGTATTCATTGCATGCATATTTGATAAGGAACTAATATAAAGAATTGATAATAATATATTGGAGTCTGCAATGTTGGGTTACTTTTACATTAACAGTGGTTTCCTTTGATATAGAACTCATTAAGCATTATTTTCAATATTGTTCAGAATTGTATGGTGGGAAGTATGTTAGACCAGGGATGAGAAGCATTGATTTTTTTCTTTAAACTTTTTCTAAAAGTAATCACTTCCTCTTCTGAACCCCCAGCACAGGTTTTCTGAACCTTTCCTTGTTTAACCTACTCAGCACTTCCTCTCTTGTATTGGGATTGAAGTGCATCTCCATCTCCCCTGTTAGGCTATACATTTCTTAAGGCTGGAGTCTATGTCTGGCTCACTTGAGTAGCTACTAAAGCATTACCTCAGGATCTCTTTGTTGAATGCTCAAAGACACTTTGAGCACAGCACTGCTATTCTGCGTGGCCAGTCATTACAGACCTGGTAATGGTTACTTTCAAACTTCACTTAGTTTGTTCCTCAGTCACCGCAGCATGGCAGAGAGGGAGAATCAGGAGCTGCCATTCAAGGGAATTCCCTAGTGGTCCAGTGGTTAGAACTCTGCACTTTCACTGCCTACCGCCCTGGTTCGATTCCTGGTTGGGAAACTAATATCCCACAAGCCGCTCGGTACAGCTGAAAGAACAAGTGATTGAATGAATGAACAAACTGCCATTCAAAAACCGTAGCACATGGTCATCAGGCAATGACTAAACACTGTGTATTTGCTTAGTCACATTTACTGCTCATGAAATAGTTATCAGATCATAAAGCATAGCCATCTGTTTATAACTTTGATGAATACTTGAACAGCATATCTGAGTTTTTGTCTTAGCTCGCCACCCTCCAACTTTGTGTCCTTGGACAAGTCACCCCGCTTCTCAGGGTCTTAGTTTCCTCATCTCTAAAGTAAGGTGTTAGGCTAAGTCATCTCTAAGCATTGTGCACATTTGTGTAAATTTGTGAATTGACCTTCAGTGTGGATGTTGGTAAACAGTATTAGGAATAGAATGCTAAATAGATACTGGCACAACTAGTCGTTTAAAAATTGTTTTGTATGGTTATTAAAACATAGGTAGTATTTCTGTTGAAGTTCTTATAGATATTAGCTAGTTCTAATCTAGTATGTACACTACATTGTAGATTTCGTTAACTATGGATCTCATTTAGCATTAATACTTAGTCATAAAATGGGTTTTTTATAAGTGTTTTGCCCTTTAAAGTCAGTGAGTATTTATAGAGAGCCTACCAAGTACAGATCACTGTATTAGGATTCCCTTGGGTAAGTTGAGTTTCACATTCTTAATGAATTAATTGTAATAGTTTGGAACTGCCAGAAGACACCAACCGAACTGAACAACTTTGTAACAGCCAAACAAAGCAGTAACTTTATTAAACCCTAAATAAATTTTTGAACGTGTTGCTGTCTTCTTGAAACTTCCTAGGAGGATGGTTTGTCTATCAGCAGAGGAATGAAGTTCACAATAACTGTGGCATCGAGATATACTACCAAACAGACATGCAGAGCACCTCGGAGAACATGTTTCTGGAGCTCTTCTGTCAGATCATCTCCGAGCCATGCTTCAACACCCTGCGCACCAAGGAACAGCTGGGTGAGGGGGAACCAGGGGATGGCAGGATACCTCAGTCCTTGAGGAACAGCCATTGTCCTCGAGAGCATTCTCCACATGTACAGTCCCCTAGCATGATGCTTCAGGCATGCTCTACTCAGAAAGACTGTGAAAGCCTTGTTTGTGGGGAATCCACTTCTAGAAGATAAGCAATTAACATCTCATGGACATTAGAGCAGTTCTTAAGGAGATGATACTGTGTTTACATTACATACGAGTCTATAAAAAGGTCATTTTGGGTGGGATGCTAAGGGAAGTCTGTTATGGGTGACAAGGTGGGAAGCAAGCCATCCACAGAAGCTTAGATTTACTGAATTTTGCGTTCATTGAGGGGGCAGGTATTTTCTTTTATTCATCTTTGTTTCCCAAGCCTGGGGCACATAGAAGGTACTCAGTAAGTGTCTGTTGAGGAAATGTTTTGGCAGAGTTCTAGGCACTATTAAAAGCCTTGGAGATCCTGGCAGGTTTGATCAATTAAGGAAAGAAACAAGCCCCAGTAATGTACATTGAATAACCAATGAAAAAGGATTTGGGTGAGTGTCCCCAAGTAACAATCTTCTTTTAAATAGCCACAATGGTAGATGCTGGACAGCAAAAGTGGATAAGTTATGGATGGTCTTTCCCTTCATGGAGCTCACAATCTAGTCAGTAATGCAGACCTGTAAGGAATAATTGTAGTACAATGTGGCAAATGCTACTAAGAGTGTTCAAACTCTAAAGGCTATGCTGAAGGAAGGGAGGTGTGGTTTGGGGCAGAGCAGCTGGAGAAGGCAAGCCACGAACGCTGTTTAGGAAAGATGTAGACGGTAGGTAGTGTATGAGCTCACAAGGTGACAGTGGAAGTATGACCTTCAGTTACTTGGTCTAAAGATTTGCATTCTGAATGGAGTTGGTCCAGGAATGGGTTATCTAGCAAGAAATGCAATAGGGGAGGCAAGTTCACACAAGGAACTTGGATGTGAAAGGAAGCCGAGCTAGGACAATGGTTAGGAGATGAAAATGAGTTCTGCATTTCATAGGGATGAGAATAACTTTAACATGGATTGAAGGGGATTAACTAGCAGACAGGGAGGAGCCTGGGAATATTGAGTTTGAAAGATAAACAAGGGTTTTATCTCCAAATTTCTACTATTCTTCAGAGAGCTCTTCTGCCCTGTCGTTAGGAACTGAAGATATTTTAATTGCTCATTTCTTCAGAGGTGAATAATATAAAGCCCTAAAGTAGATTTTATTTGCTCTGACAGGATAATTTTTGAAAGATTAAGAGTGACCCATGTCTCAAATGCCAAGGTCCTGACTGGCTGGTGTTTGCGTTTCAGGCTATATTGTCTTCAGTGGGCCACGCCGAGCCAATGGCATACAGGGCTTACGGTTCATCATCCAGTCGGAAAAGCCACCTCACTACCTAGAAAGCAGAGTGGAAGCTTTCTTAATTACCATGGAAAAGACCATAGAGGACATGACAGAAGAGGCCTTCCAAAAACACATCCAAGCATTAGCGATTCGTCGACTAGACAAACCAAAGAAACTGTCTGCAGAGTGTGCTAAATACTGGGGGGAAATCATCTCGCAGCAATACAATTTTGACAGAGGTAAGACAAAATTAGGGCCCCAACATTCATGGCATGTAAGTAAAACATTTGAGGACATTGATGCCATTCTACAAAATGGTATTTGTTTTGTAGGTGATGTTCCAGTATGATTTGGGATGGGGGTGGAGGCATACCACTTCTAAAGAATCTTTATTTAATGTAACAACAATTTCCTAGTAGAAACTTGAACTTTTTTTTTTCCTTCTCTGAACTAGAGCTGGATCTATCTGTATCTCATAATAATGCACTAATAATAAATCTGATTTCACTTTTTGTGTTCATTCAGTACGCCCCTGAGGCTCTGAGCACAGATATGTAGGTATTTCTCATAACTCTAAATGGAAAATGTGCAAATTGAACTCTGTTGAGACAGGTGCTGCCCTGGAGGCACAGGGGTTCAAACGTTTCCCTTTAGGGATCTCCCAAAATTTGTCAGTGCTTTTAGATTTGGGAGACTGTGCTCCCCAAAGTGTCCTGCTTATCAGCTTCCTTTTGCCTTTCTTAGAACAGATTAACAATGGAGTGCGCTCAGCTACACTAGAAGTCAGAAAGAGTTGGGTTGTGTTCTCACTGTGACACCAACAAGCCAAAGATCTCAGCCAATATTTTTGGGGCCTGTGTTTCCTTACCTGTAATTTTTCTAGCAGTTGGATTCACTGTTAATAGTACTGGGTTGGCCAAGAAGTTCGTTCAGGTTTTTCCGTAAGATGTTTTGGAAAAACCTGTGCGAACTTCTTGGCCAACCCAGTACCTCCCACTTATTGAGCATTTGCCCTGTGCCCCTGGTATTGTGTTATTGTCAGTTAAGTAGTTGTTATCCCCAATTTCTAGATGAGGAAACTGAGGCTCAGAAAACTTGAAGTGACTAGCCCAAGACCCAACATAACTAGAGAGACAGGATATCCTCTTACTTTTTACTTGAAATTTATTCCCTTACTACTTGCAGGAGCAGATGATCACTCAAAAAGATGGATTCTTAAGAGTGTTGGAGTGAAGTATATTGTCATTTAGTGTAGTGTTCTGGGATACTTAAAATGAAAATATTGTAAATTCTTGTTTGATTACTTTTTTAGATAATACAGAAGTTGCCTATTTAAAAACACTTACCAAGGAAGATATTATCAAATTCTATAAGGTAAGTTCAATTTGCATGTTTAGATTTTGACTGATAAGGAAATATTGTATGCACTGTGTTCTGTGTTGCTGCTTTGAACCCATTCAGGCAGGATTTATGAAGGCATTTTTATGGACCCAAGTATTTTGTGTGTGTGTGTGTGTGTGGTACGCGGGCCTTTCACTGTTGTGGCCTCTCCCGTCGTGGAGCACAGGCTCCGGATGCGCAGGCTCAGCAGCCGTGGCTCACAGGCCCAGCCGCTCTGCGGCATGTGGGATCCTCCTGGACTGGGGCACGAACCCATGTCCCTGCATCGGCAGGCGGACTCTCAACCACTGCGCCACCAGGGAAGCCCTGGACCTAAGTATTTTTGACACATATTACTGTTAAGAAAAAGAGATAGTCCCTATTGAACCCAGTACTGTTTTTCTCTCCCTCTGGACCGAGGACTATGGTGGCCCTTCCTGGCTTCCAGATCCACCTGTTTAGGTTACCCTTCTATTTCTTCTCTCTGTTCCTCGCCCCAGCCCACAAAGAACATCGCTGAGCTTTTGGTGGGAAGAAAGAGCAAAGAAAACAAATAGAACTTGGGAATCAGATTATTTTCCAGTCTCTGACAACTATAAATCATCTTCACTAATTTAGGTGCCACTATGGCTCCTTTTAAAAATAAATGATTACTGGGCTTCCCTGGTGGCGCAGTGGTTGAGAGTCCGCCTGCTGATGCAGGGGACACAGGTTTGTGCCCCGGTCCGGGAAGATCCCACATGCCGCAGAGCTGCTGGGCCCGTGAGCCATGGCCACTGAGCCTGCACGTCCGGAGCCTGTGCTCCACAACGGGAGAGGCCACAACAGTGAGAGGCCCGCGTACGGCAAAAGATAAATAAATAAATAAATAAATAAATAAAATAAATGATTACTCACCTTTGAACTGTGTTCAGAGATCTTCTGAGTTGTTTTTTTTTTAATTGTGTTTATTGAAGTATAGTTGATTTACAATGTCGTGTTAGTTTCAGGTGTACAGCAAAGTGATTCCGTTTTTTATATATATATATTCTTTTTCATATTCTTTTCCATTATAGGTTATTATAAGATATTGAATATAGTTCCCTGTGCTATACAGTAGGATCTTATTGTCTATTTTATATATAGTAGTTTATATCTGATAATCCCAAACTAGAGATTTGTTAGTTTTTTTTTAGGTAGAATGACTTTTTATACTAATTATTATATTTCTTTATTTATTTTTGGCTGTGTTGGGTCTTCATTGCTGCGCGCAGGCTTTCTCTAGTTGCGGTGAGCGGGGGGCTACTCTTCGCTGCAGGGCGCGGGCTTCACATTGCAGTGGCTTCTCTTGTTGCAGAGCGTGGACTCCAGTAGTTGTGGCACGCGGGCTCAGTAGTTGTGGCTCGTGGGCTCTAGGGCGCAGGCTCAGTAGTTGCGCACGGACTTAGCTGCTCTGCAGCCTGTGAGATCTTCCCAGGGCAGGGCTAGAACCTGTGTCCCCGGCATTGGCAGGCGGATTCTTAACCACTGCGCCATGAGGGAAGTCCCAGATTTGTGAGCTTTAAATGCCTGAGCTCACTGAGAAAGTTCAGTTCATCAAGAGAAAAGAGAGGCACCACCATTAAAGTTTTCCCAGTACAGCTTGAAGAGGTTTACACCATCTAAATTTTCCCCACCTGTAACAGAATTCATAGAAGGGTAGCAAAAATTTTAAGTGGGCATATAATGTGTAGTAACCATGCTAAGTGCAGAAATTAAAAATTTATGCTGTAATAGAGTTGTACCTAAAGTGTTATATATATTCTTTGTAATGTATTGGGACCTCTAATTTGTGTAAAATACTTCTATGTCTGTTTTTTAGGACAAGGAACAAAATTCTACTCCATAATTACCATAGCACCTTAGAATTATACCCTATCTAGTATCCTTAGCTAGTTCTCCTGGTTCATATCTGATTTATCAGACACCAGGTTTTTCGTTGGGAGCTCAGGTCCTGCCTCATGCTAACATCTCTGTGAGGGATGTCATCTGCTTTTCAAGGTCATTTCTCAGGTATCTGTTGTAACTGCCGTAACAGGAGTGGTGCTTGCAGTTCTCATTGGAATGATTTTGTGAAATTAATTGTGCAGTGAAGGCTAATCAGATCTAATTCACCACTATTGGTGCTGTGTGGGAGAGTGAGGAAAATGAAACAGCCCTGAGTTGGAAGTGCTGATAGTTTCATAGAAGAAAAGGGTGATTTAGCACTGTCTACGAGTTACTTTCCCCCCAGATCCTCTGCAGGGCGACAAGGTTTCTGGTCTCTGTATGTGCAAACAAATATTCATATAGCCAATAACACCTTAGCAATAAGAAAAGAGAGACAGTAGCAATTTTAGGTTCAAAATTTGACAGTAAAAGACAGTATTTTGAATGTTCCTTTCTCAGCAACGGGATTTGAACCATTTTGGCTATGGACATGGCTGGCTGGGCAATTTACCATTTTCTTTACCTCATGGCTCCCTTGCATTGTATAGAGGAATTGTGCTTTTTTGCAGTGATAGTCTTTTTTTTTAATATTATTTATTTAGTTTTAAATTTTGGCTGTGTTGGGTCTTCGCTGCTGCATGAGGGCCCTCCCCAGCTGCGGCAAGCGGGGGCTACTCCTTGCCGCGGTGCACGGGCCTCTCATTGCGGTGGCTGCTTCCCCTGTTGCGGGCTTAAGTAGTTGTAGTGTGAGGGATCTAGAGCGCAGGCTCAGCAGCTGCGGCTCACGGGCCTAGCCACTCTGTGGCATGTGGGATCCTCCCAGACCAGGGCTCGAACCCGTGTCCCCTGCACTGGCAGGCGGACTCCCAACCACTGCACCACCAGGGAAGTCCCAGTGATAGTCTTTTAAAAAATATATATTTTGACAAGGGGGAGGCTAGGCCTGTGAAGGGGCAGTGGGTATATGGAAAATCTGTGCACCTTCCACTCAATTTTGCTGTGAACCCAAACTGCTTTAAAAAATAAAATCTATTTTAAAAAAATGTGCGTGTACATATGTAACAAAAGCGCATACTTTTTTTTTTTAATTTTTTTTCTTTTATTTTTTGGCCACACCATGCAGCATGTGGGATCTTAACTCCCTGACCAGGGATCAAACCCATAATCCCTGCAGTGGAAGCACAGAGTCCGAACCACTGGACCACCAGGGAACTCCCAACACATACATATTTTTTAAATAAAACAATATATAAAATAAGATTCTGTTCTGAAATATAACCCCAGGTAGTCTTTGTGTCTGTGGAGAGAGAGCTGCAGTAGGACCATGAGGGGCAGAGTTGGGTGTGAGAGCAGGGCTCCAGGACACGTGTCCGCTGCCAGGCTGTTCAGCCGTCCAGAGCCCTGCTCAGAGCTGCTCACTCAGTGATCTGTGATCTGTGGGGCAGATCTGTGGGGCTGCTCACTCAGTGATCAGTGATCTGTGGGGCAGCAGCAGGAGCACATATGGCCTCTGAGCACAGACTCTGGGCTCAGCCCTATCACCAGCTAGCTAGCTCTGTGACCTTGGCCAAATTACTTAAGCTTCCTTATTTACAAAATAGAGATTATGGGGTATTCATTGAAATGAGGTATGTAAAGTGATTGGCACTTAGTAGCATTTATTAAACAGTCTCTATCGTTATCTCTTTATTAGTAATACTCAATCTTAGGATTTTTAAATATTTTAATCAGAATGTTTTAGATCGGAATATGTTTTCCTCCTTGGTGTTATAAAGTGGGTTTTAGTTGTATTGGTTTACTACTTAAGACTGTTACACTTTGTGAGGTTAGTTACTTGTTCTCGACTGCCTACAAAAGAGGGTGCTCATGTTCAGCTCTCTTTGGTTCCTAAGACATTTATTTTAAGACATTATTAGTTATGTGTGTTCAAAAAGAATGATGACTTAATATGACTTACTGTGATGTTTCCAGAAGAAATGAAGATTTCTCTTTCCTTCCACAAATTCTGTTATTTATTTGAAGTCACAGGTGGTACCTGATTATTGAATTTGTGAAAATAGCAGTTATAAGACTGACTTTCTGGTCTTAAAAGAATGAGAGTATTTATTACCAAGCTTACGCTAAATCTAGAACAGGCTTTCCCTAGCTATGTTCCATGGTACAAGATACTAATAGGGGGTACCTAGAAAAAAGGGTTTCGTGACCATGTACGTTTGGGAATGACTACTCTTTGTTCTCATTCTTGGAGAATCACAGAGCATGTTAGCTTTTGAAAAGTTCTAAGAACCCCATAGTTAAGATTTCTTTAGCCCAGCATTTGTTCAGTTTTGATTAACAAAATATTTCCTAAGCTGCTATCACTATGGACACTTTTTTTTTTTTTTTGCACAGAATACCTATAAATATCTCTTAGGACTCTAGTGTTCCTTAGAATAGAGAAATTCTAAGAAATTTCTGCAATTGGTTGGTTTTTAGAAAAATGGGGATTATCCAAAGTTGGTCAGGAAATTGAACAGGATATTCTGCTGTAACCGATACAGGTTAAGAGGGCAATGAAGGTTTGGGTGATAAGGGATCAAGAATAGGTCTTTGGAAGCAAACGTTTTACTCCCGTAAGATGCTCTCAGATGGGGCACTGAATGTTACTGGAGGCTGACCTGGGCTGAGCTCCTGAAAGAGGCTGTTCTGCCAGCTGGCAGAGCCGTGGGCAAGCTTGCTGTGCAACCTCAGCAGGGCTTCCGTTGCAGCTGCACAGGGCCAGGCTTGCAATAACTGTTCCGTAAATAACCGTGAGTCAGTCTGGCTTTGCTGATGATCTCTTCCTCTGAGGTTACAAAACATTGCTGCTGGCTGAGGCATCAGGGGAAGCTTCATCACAACTTGTGTTTTCCCTTTGGAAAAGACAAATACAGGTCCAGCATCAAGGAAAAGGTGAGGAGGCACTTCCCCACAGGATCCTTCTGCCAACATACTACTCCTGGCTTTCTTGGTAGTAACTAAGGGGAGTCCCTCAAAGCAACGTGGTGCAATGGAGAGAACAAGCAAACCTCACTTCTGGCACCATCCCTTCCAAGCTGTGTGACTCCAGCTGTGACTCTTTGTTTTAGAGTCAGAGTCTCTAAAACAGGAATCATCGTTATGTTTAGCTTACAGAGAATCAAGTGAGCTAACATAGGAGAGAGGCTGATACATGATGACACTCAAGGGATGTTAGTTTTCTTCTTAGTGGGGCAAGCATCGTGGTCATCCCTTAACTAAGCTCAGGCCATTGTCTCTGCAAACACTGCAGATCAGTAGGTGCAGCCCTGCGTCACACCCCAGTGAGAACTAGGCTAAGGTTTTAATCCCAGCCCAGGTACCTACTAGCCGTAGGAGCTTGAGCACTTAATCTCCCTGGACTCGGTTTTCTCATCGTAAGATGGGGTTAAGAATAATTCTTGCCTACCTCCTAATCTTTGTGGAGTTCAAATGAAATACTATAGGTAAGGGGAAAGAAAGGGAGGCGTCTTTACTGTTTCTGACTGCCTGAGAGCTGATTCTTCATGGTCGTAAGAGCACACCTCATTTTAAGTTCCTTAGTGGGGCAAAAGGGTGACCTTGCTATTCTTTCCACCCAGGAAATGTTGGCGGTAGATGCCCCAAGAAGACATAAGGTATCCGTCCATGTTCTTGCCAGAGAAATGGATTCTTGTAAGTATTGAGTATTGACTTTTTCAAAAGTGTGTTTTTAGGCACACGATAGCTGTACCATGCCATAGTCACATCCCTTATAGACCACCAGGAAGTAAAGGGGCACAGAAGGGGAACTAACTAGAGACAGGGTCTGCTCTGTCAAAGCAAAAATAAGGGGAAAACGGAAATGAGGCAGTGAAGGAGAGAGCCAACAGCAGATGACACAGTGCCGAGCTGGCTACAGCTGCATAAGAAAACAAGGCCAGGTGCTGGTAGGACATCTCCAAAGAAGCTGTATGGAACAACTGCATGTGGTGGGGGAAGGGTGAGCAGTTTATCTGTCCTTCCCATCTCCTGTCTGTGACTGTCCAGGGTTTGCCCCATGACCATTTACTCCCCCAGCCTTCCAGTTTGTTTTACTGGGTCCTTCTGGGTGGCCAGAGCCTCAGGGTCCAGTGAGGTCAGAGCTGGGCACTAAAGCAGCTGCGGCCAAGGCTATTTAAGCACAGTAACATCATGAACCATCATTAGGGACACTCTGGATAGGAGGCAGGACAAGCGAACAAGGCCTTGGGAGTACACACCCTAAAAGGATCTGAAAGGTACATGAACGGGACCTGGTGCAGATTTTTAGTGAGCTGAGTCTGGTTTGTGTTTGTTTGCTCTTGTGTACAAGTATCAATAAGTGCAAAGTCTTAAACCTTTTGTTTTTTATAGGTCCTGTGGTTGGAGAGTTCCCATGTCAAAATGATATAAATTTGTCACAAGCACCAGCCTTGCCACAAGTAAGAAATATAAATTTCATGTTAGCTTTTGCCCTGTTAGAGGATCTCCTACTTAGAAGGAGCTTGTTCACCAGGACACGTAAGACCTAGAGATTTCAGGTTACGAGGTATTCGGGCATCTACTTTAGGTCTCCCTTAAAGACCAGGTTGCCATTCTTTCCATTTTCAGCTGCAGAGACTCAGCCTTCGCCCTTGTCCGCCTTGTCCTCTAGCTTGAACGGTTGTGTTACTCTGCAATGAGTCATCTCCAGCCACATTTATCCCAGCCTTTTCCATAGTGCTTGTGCATGTTAATCATCTGGAAAGGTTGGCATTTACTTGCAAGAAGAGGAAGCTGGCAGTGTAATTAGGCTCTTGCTGGGTGGGCACACTGGCCTCTACCACTCCGCCAAAGCGGCGGTCCTGAGCCCTCAGTGGGCCTGCCCTCGAGTGCCCGGAGGAAAGCTGAGATTCTTCCCTCTGGCCCAGAGTCCTACTGGGGACATTCACCATAGGTTTGCATAGACCCTCTGACCTTACTGATCCAGGAAGAGAGGTCAGTAGATATAATATGTAATATATAGTGTAGAAACTAGTGTGTATATGTAAAAATAAAGTTTATGTCCTGTTCAGTCTGCTTTTTAGGCTAAATACACTAAGAGAAAACTTTTTTTCTTTGCAGCCTGAAGTGATTCAGAACATGACTGAGTTCAAGCGTGGTTTGCCACTGTTTCCCCTTGTGAAACCACATATTAACTTCATGGCTGCAAAACTCTGAAGATTCCTCATGGGCGGGAAAGCGCAAGTGGATGCATTCCTGAGTCTTCCAAGGGCTATAGGAAAACAGTCTTGGCCACTTTAATATTTTCTGGTTCACTATTAGAGAGAAAAACAGAAAAAAAAAAAAAAGTTGTCAAATGTCATTATGTAGAAATATTAAAAATCCAAAGTAATTAAGTTACAAAATCTTATAGATGTAGAATATTTTTAAAATACATGCCTCTTAATATTTTAAAAGTTTTCTTTTCATTACTAAGAGAAATGTCCCTTATATAACAATACTTAAAATGATGGATGATATTCCTATAGAAACTTTCTTCCTTATTCTGTAAAATAGTCACTTGTCAGAAGAAAAATATGTTAGCTTTTTTCTAAAAGCCTCCTAGGTTGACAGAAAAGACTTCAAAACATATAGAAAGATAATACCTTTTTAAAAATGGGTCCTCAATTTTGCTTTCTACTTAATGGTTTCATGTAAATAATGGAGAACATTACATTTGGCAGATAATGAACAAAGCAATGTAATTTTCTTTTATTAGTGAAATTGCTGATTATATAAGGCATGGTTTTAATCTTTTTATAGAATTTGAACGTTTTTTATTCAAACTAGTAAAATGCTGGAAAACTCTAGAACACCCTACTTATTTACAGTGCTAGAAATACAGACTTACCTTACATCAATTTTGTCCCAAAATGAATTTCTCAGGATTACTGTGATTTGTTTTTTTCTGATTGAATTATATTGACATTCTTGTTCATAGTTGGTTTGCAGTGTTCCATCAGTGTCACTTTTCCCCATCAACACGTTGCTGTATTTATTTAACAAAAACAAACAGGGTCAACTTCAGATCCCACTGAGTGTGTGACATGCTTTTCCAACATCATCTATTGTAAACACCTGTAACTTTTTACTACCACGAAATTGCAGTCAGTATACGAACCAAAATATTTGCCCCATTATGAATATAAAAGGCAACACGTGCAAAGACACCTTTTTGGAGGTAAAAAAAGGAAAGCCTTGGATTCTTCAATAGCGTGCTCTCCGTAGAGACTCTGAATCCTGTTTTGCTACCAGTCTAATACTGCCTTAAGTGTAAAGTTACTTTTTGAATATATAAATTCAAACATACAAACACACAGATGATGACTGGAGTGAACTTTTAAAAAATATTTTTTTTCATGAGATACAATTTTGGATGAAATTGTTACTGTAGATTTAACAGCTGTTTTGAAATATTTACTGTTATTAAAACTTAAAGAGAAATTGGAGACATACAGGAACTAGTAACAGTAAGTGGCCCTGTAGTTCACTAACTCAGGCAAAGTAAAGAATGGCATTTTCAAATGACATTTCACCTCCATATGACTTGATTTGCCAGGACTTCTTTCTGTAGAGTCATGTCTTTTCACATCTTAAGTTTTCACATTTTCTGTTTTTCTGAATAATCTGAATTTGGGGCAAGAATGATAATCACAACTGTGGAGGCTGCTTTTGAAAGCGGGGCTCCATTTCTACTGTCAGACATATGTGGTGCTGTAACCATCTTTTTATCCCTGCCTTCAAGAGCTTCCTTGTATGAAGCCTGTCTTTGTCCATCAGAAGGTGTGTGAGTCATCATCACTTCCTTCTGGTTTTATGCATTTGTAGACTATGCAGCTTTTCATCAAACTGCAGATATATATGAGAGGGATCAAAAACTAGTCCTGAGTGCATAAATCCACCACTGGAAAAGTAAATAATCCACTTATATCTTTTCTGTGGAAAATTATGTGCTACTGGGTAACTTTTTGCTCTTTAAAAAAAAAGGGAGGGGGTGAAATTTAACAGTGTCATTTTTATGAGAAAGTCACGTGAAGAAATCTGAAAGGCATCTCATGTAGTCTTACAGGAACCTGTGGTTGCTCTTGAGTGTGCTCTAGCATTGTCTGGTTTCCACTTTGGATCTAGAGCTACTGTTGGATCACTCAGGCATACTTACGGATTCAGCTACATGGATCCAAGCTGCAGTCCCTGAGCAATAACAGACTACCTGGCTACTGCTCTTTACTCAGCGCTTAGTAAATGAGATTTGTGAAACACACTAAGGTGTTAGTTACCCGTGACTTTTTGAAAAGTCTTCTTTTTCACCGCTTGATGTGGAAGAGAGAGCATGTGACACAGCCAGTACGTGGTAGAGTGCTAGGGTAATCCTGTTTACAATAAATTGCCTGAATTTCACCTCTGGAGTTTGCATTTGTATTATTTTTACAGTTTCAGTGGCCAATCCTCAACCTACCTCTCAACATCCCGATTTGACGATGTTTCTTGCTTTCATTGTTCCTAATGTAGAAAGCAGTGGATTTTTTTTTTTTTTTAAGTGAATCTGGGTAACAGTGATTTAGTCAAATAAATGGGTCAATTTCACAGTCTTAAGAGTAGATCACTTTCGTAAAACAGGAATCTCAGTGTGAGAGGCTGAACTCCTTGCTGACGCCAAACCCAGAAAGATTTGTCCTGCGAGTTTCAGGGAGGAGAATTCAGAAGGTAGAAAAAATATTTCTGTCCTCATCTTCCTCGCGTGTCTCCAGCGGCAGGTTAGGCAGATATCTTGTCCGATCCCTGGCTTCTTACTCCCTGTCAAAATAATCTTTCTACTCGTGTGGTTACCAGCTGGTTCAACCAAGCATTTCAAGAGGGAATCTGGTGGTTCTTCAGTTTCCAACCTAGGACAGTAGTGCAGGACACATGGTCGGCTTTGTGCTTAGGGAGGACACAGCTGCCCCATCTGGAGGCCTGGAGCCACCCCAGGTTTTAGGGCTTGGTGCAGTTTCCCCCTCTCTCATGGTGTGTGAGGGGAATCATCTGGTCCCCTTCTCTTATTTGCAGCATGTTTATGGTGAAAACCAAGGATTCTCACATACTCATCTCCCTTTGTAAGGATGGTTCCTGCCCTCCTAAGCCCTCCCTGGAAGGGCCTCTGACCGGTAGGCTTCTAGATCCCTAGTATTCTGTGCTGCCCATCCGATGAAGTTCATTCACTGTCCTTATCAACCTGAACGTTGACCACTCCATGGTTTCTTGTGGCAAAGCTTATTGGTAGTACTGAATTGCTACTTTTCTCACCCAATCTTTTGACATGGGAGGACGATGATTAAAATCATCCTCATCCCAGGTTTTCGGAAGCGAAAATAGGCTCAGAAAGGCTAAACAGTTTGCCCCAGACCATGCAGGAAGCACGGATTCAAACCTCCACTCAGATCTTTAAACTCTGGTTCTCATTGTTCCATGTGGATTTCCTGTAATAATGGGTACCAAGTCTACAAAGGTACTTGTGGAACAAAGTAGAAGGGCAGTTGCTTTTACATGTGTATGAAACTTAACTTTTTTCACCGATACCACCTTAGTCTCCCAACCTTTGCCTATTTTGGAGGGAGTGAGACCAAGTCTCAGAGTCTGTGTGCCTCCCCTCCAGTCCTCTGTTGTTGCCCCTCTGCTGGCCTCCCTTGTGGCCAGTTATCACCACGGGGATCTCCCTCCCTCTTGGAGTCAATCCAGACCCATGCCTCCTGGCCTGCTAGGCCCTTACATCAATGCACGCTCTCCTTGCTGTCGCCCCTGGAGTGATGAGATGATCTGGAATCCTTCAAGTGATTCTGAACGAGAGTGTGAAGAGTCAAGGTCATCTGTAACCCCACCCCTCCAGGACAGCCACGTTTTTTGCATTGTTATTTTGCAGTCTTTTTCCCGTGCAAGTAGAATGGGGTCATATATTCAGTGTTACAACATTTTCCATAGTCTATATTGAGAATTTTCCACGTGGATACTCTTGGGAAATGTGTGGTATTTGCTGTTGTTGTCATTATTGTTGAGTTTTTGGTGTCATACTGTAGTTTGTTTATCCAGTCCTCTTAAGAGTGGGATATTTAGGGTGTTTTCAAACTCTGATCCATGATAAAACTCCTTGTGCAGACAGAGTATTTTCTGATTATTTCTTTAAATCACTGGGTTGTAGAATATGAATATATCATTTAACTTCTTTTTGGAAAAGTTCTAAATCTACAGAAGTTGTAGAAATAGCACAGTGAATGCCCATATAGCCTTTGCCCTGTATTCACCAGTTTAATAATGTTTGCTGCGCATTCCTCCCTCCCTCCCTCTCTCTCCGTAGATGTTGACTCCTCACCCCTACATACTTCATCAAGTATCTCCTAATAACATTGTCGATTTGTAGTCAGGAATTGGGTCTCGCCCAAAGGTAGGTCTGGCCTATGTCCCCTTTGTTTTTGTTTAGACATTATAGACAAGTAATTTTGACAACTTAGATGAAAGAGGTACATTTCCTGAAAGACACAAATTACCAAAACAGACATGAAAGGAAATAGAAAATATGAATATTCCCTTAATCTGTTTTAAGAAATTGAATTAATGCCCTTTCCACAAAGAAAATCCCAAACCCAGATGGCTTCATTGGTGAATTCTATCAGACATTTAAGGATGAAATTATACCAATCTTACATTTTAGAAAGCAGGAGGGAACCCTTTTATGAGGTCAGCATTACCCTTATACCAAACTCAGACAAAGGTATTTCAAGTAAATCAATTACCCTTTTCAAAGTCCTGAAAGTCTTTAACAAAATGTTGGCAATTTGAATCCAATGATGTGTAAAAAGGAATTTTTTTATACAGTTGATTTTCAAATATTATACCAACTTTACATGAAGACAGAGTAGGAGGAATGTAAGGTTGGTATAATATTTGAAAATCAATTAGTATTGTTTACCATAGTGACAGAAAAGGAGGGAAAACCACATAGTCGTTTCAATAGGTAGAGTAAGAGCATTTTACAAAACTCATACAGCTCTCAACAAACAAGGAATGGAAGGGACTTCCTCAACCTAATAAAGGGAATTTAACAAATACCTACTGGTCACATCATAAGTAAGGATAAAATACTGAATACTTTGACCCTAAGAGATGCACCAAGATGAGGATGTATGTTCTCACTACTTTTTTCAAACTTGTATATGAGGTCCTCGTCAGTACAATAAAGATTGGGAAGAATGAAGTAAAACTGTTCACAGATGGCATGAGCACATACGAAAAAAACTCTAAGGACTACAAAAATGGTACTACTAATAATTGAATTAACAAGATTGCAGGAAATAACATTAACAAATCAATTTTATGTCAACAAATTATACTGTCCACAAAATTCAAATAATTTATAATAGCACCAAAAAAGTATTTAGGGGCAAAATATTTTTAAATGTGAAAAACCCATACACTGAAAACTTCATAACGTTACTGAAGGAAAGTTTTTAAAGACCAAAATAAAAGGACAAAATCCATATTCATGGATTGTAGGACAGTGCTTTTAAGATATCTGTTTTTCCCCACTGAGCTATAGATTCTAAAGCAATGCTTGTCAGAATTCCTGCAGGCTTTTTGGACAGACGTTAAAATCAGACAAGCTGATTTAAAATTGTACATGAACATGCAAAGAACAAATTTATCCTTCCTGATAGCAAGGCTTATATGAAACTATAATCGAGCTAGTGAGTATTGGCCTAAGGATTGACATATGGATCAATGGAAGGGAACAAAGTCCAGAAATAGAGCCCCACCTTACTTTCAATTAATTTTTGACTAAAGTGTCATGGTAATTTGATGGGGGAAAAGTAGTCTTTTCTATGAATGGTTCAAGAACAACTGGATATCCTTACGGGAAAAAAAAAAAAGAACCTTAACCCTTATCTCACAGTATATACAGAATTAACTCAAAAAGGCCTACAGATTTAAACATAAAAACTAGAACTGTAAAAGTTCTACAGGGAAACAGGAGAAAATCCATTCGAAGTTTGTTAGGCAAAAATTTCTTAGGATGCAAAAGTCACTAACCATCAAAGAAAAAATGGACATATTGAAGTTTTTCAAGTTTAAAACTGTCTTCTCTTTAAAAGACACCATTAAGAAAAGAAAATGGCAAGCTGCTGACTGGGAGGAAATATTTACAATACATAAATCAGACAAAGGACTTACACATAAGAATATACAAGAAACTCATAAGACAAAAATGTTGTAAAGGAGTTCAATAGATGCTTCACCAAAGGAGATGTAAGTAATGGTCAATACGTACCTGAAAAGATAACATCATGAGTCATGGGGAAATGCAAATTTAAGCCAACAGGAGAGCAAAACTACAGTGAGAAGGAAGATGGGTGATTGCCTGGAGACTGAGGTCAGCAGATGGGATCAAAGGACATAAGGAAACTTTTTTAGAGAAGGCCCATCGACCTCCTCAGTGACTGGGTAAGTCTCTCTTGGTCTTGGATCTCCCGTCTTGGTTGACGATTCTGAGTTTTATTCAGTGGTTGGTAAACTTGTTACGAGGAGTAGGTTTTCCTTGAACTTAAGGCAGTTCAAGAAGAGGTACCTGAATTCTCAGTTGTAAGACACTGGGAAGGTTGCTCAGTTCAAATGCACTGAGAAAATTGTCTAGCTGAAAGACACTGGGAAGGTTTGGACTGGGTGATTAGGTAAGGGCTAACCTGGTGTCTTTCCTTGAATGGGCTACTTTAACAGTTTGTTGGAATAAAAATGAAGACACCATATGAGAGCTTTTAGCTCCAAAATAAGAGACAAAATGCTCCTCCCAGCTGGTTACAGCTTTCTCAGGCAACTGAGAAATTTACAGGAGTGGTGGAGGCAAGTCCTCATACCATGCAGCGGTCCCGTAGAGAAACCCATTCATTAATTAAAGATACGCTCATCTGGGGTTGTACACATTAGAACTGGCCATCCAGTGCTTGAGCACCCATGGTAGTTTTAGTCTGCTGGAGGGAGAAACCCAGACACGCTTCTAGGAGGAACTTGCATTATCTCCCTGTGCCTTTAAGATGTAAAGGTACCTGATCTTCTTAGGCATCTTGTTCTATGTCTTGAGAGCTTGGTTTGTTGATCAGTGAGAAAACTCTTTCTGGCCTCTGCCATCTGGAAGGTACTCATACAGTGTACATTTGGAAGCCAGTTGAAGAGACTAGGATTCCGAGCAGTCCCTTTGGCCCTGTCAGCTCTCAGGAGAGTTTGTCATAAGGGTTCCCAATCCATAAGGGGCCTTCATCATGTCAACTTTCATTGGATCCACCTGTACAATAAAGGCCCTTACTTTCTTAGACTATTTTTGCAAATAAACTTTGGATCTTGTGAGGGCTGCATCCTTTGCATGATCCTATGGGGACACCTCTTGTGTCTTACTCGTTTGAATCCCTATTCAGATCCTGGTCATCAATGGCCAAATGATGGATCCTTTAAATCGGAAAAACTTCAGGTAAATTTTTAGAAAGCTCTCCTCGTAAACAGCTATTTTATTGGTAGCTATGGAAGGACCAAATTAAAAGATGGACACAAAGAAATGTAATGACTAACCTTAAGAACTCCCTTAGTTTAAAAAAAAAAAACCTCTTCTGGGAAGCCTATTTGAATTTGTGATCTCAGCTTCCCTCACTGGGTCTTACAGATGCTAATAAAACATTAGGTTAATTAATGTTAATTAGGTTAACAAGGGAATAGAAGGGGTTGTTAAGGGGAAAGTCCTGTGGCTTGGATATTCATGGGATTGAAACAAAGGCTTTGAAACAGCACTACTTAAGGTTGGATGAGCCAAAGGGACCCTCTGTGGGTCCACCCAATATTAAAGGGCCCCAAACAAGTTTGCTCTATTTACCCCAGTTTGGAAAAAAGGGGCTGGAAAGGAA